GCTTGAAGGGGACATGGGGTGTTAGTGAGCAGGTCACCTGCCCGTTGGCGCCGGAATCACGGTCGGACACGCTGATCAGGGCGATGACAGTGCCCACCTGAGCATTCTCTCTCACGGGGAGCGACAGAGAAGTGATGGTAATTTCTGGGATGTTATCATTTATATCTAGTATTTCTACCAAAACGGTACAATGACCTGCCATTGGAATATTCCCCTTGTCTATTGCCTCCACCGATATTTCATACAAATTATTTTCTTCGAAATCTAGTTTACGTCTTGTTCTAATTTCCCCACTGTTGGGATTTATGATAAATGCATGCAACACCGCAGGCGATACAGGCTTTCTAAATGAGTAGATTATGTCTCCATTCGTACCATCATCAAGATCTGTGGCATTTAGCTTAATCACTAATGTTCCGTTAAATGCGTTCTCTAACACTGTCACTTTATAAATATACTGGTCAAATTCTGGGGCATTGTCATTCACATCCAAAACTGTAATCAACAACTGAACTGTGCCGGTCAGCTCCGGTTTACCCCCATCATTGGCTGTCAATAATAAGCTATGCTCCTGAATTTGCTCTCTGTCCAGTGATTTCCTCAATACAAGTGACAACGAAGACATTTGTTCACGATTGTTTTGTGTGTCCAAAGCGAAATACTCGTTGGGATCAATTCGGTAGATCAAGGCCGAGTTTACTCCGATATCTGCATCGGATGCGCCATCTAGTGGAAACCGAGTTTCTGGGGGTCTAGATTCTGCAATGATTATTCTTTTCTTACTCTCAGGGAACACAGGCGGGTTGTCGTTAATGTCCTTCACCTCTACCTCCACGTGGAAAACCTGCAGCGGCCTGTCCACGATCACCTCCAGGTGGATGCTGCACTCCGCGCTCCGCCCGCACAGCTCTTCCCGGTCGATCCGAGAATTCACAAACAAAATGCCATTCTGCAGATTTACCTCCAGAAGGTCCCCTTGGCCTTTGGACGCCACCCGGAACAGGCGCGGCACCAGCTCCGCCAGCTCCAGCCCCAAATCCTGGGCGATGTGGCCCACGAAGGTGCCGTGTTTGGCCTCCTCCAGGACTGAGTAGTGAACCTGGCCACTCCCTGCTTTCCAGGCTGGGAGAAGCAGAAGCGACAGCAGCAGACTCTGGGCTCCTGGGCCTCCTCTCCAGGAGAACAGCATGGTACACGCAAAAGGATTCAAAGATATCTGAAGTATAAGTTATACCTTACCGCAAACTGACTCTTCACGGGCTCTGGGGGAGGATTCACTAGAGGTTTCCCATTATCTGCCAAATTTTCTGCAGGAAGGAGGAAGCGAGGGCACTTTCTGGGAAATGTTCTCAGTGAAGAGCGACACCATGTGCATGAATGTGTAACTGTAAAAATGATTAGGTCTTCACATTTTCCATTGATGTAGAGGGTTTTTTTGTTTTTTTGTCATTTCGTGATTTTTTTTTTCATTGCAAACACGTAATTGAAGATTAAATGTCTTTCTTTCCAGAAACAGTAAATCACTGTATTCTGCTCTGTATAGGATGCTAGTTGAGAATTGGTTGAGTTCCATTTTGCCACAAATATATTTTTGCAAGGGTAAAACTTTCATGCAGAGGTTTTTTTTAAGATTTTATTTTTAAGGGGCGCTTGGGTGGCTCAGTCGTTAAGCGTCTGCCTTCAGCTCAGGTCATGATCTCAGGGTCCTGGGATTGAGCCCCGCATCGGGCTCCCTGCTCCGTGGGAAGCCTGCTTCTCCCTCTCCCACTCCCCTTGCTTGTGTTCCCTCTCTCGCTGTGTCTCTGTCAAATAAATAAATAAAATTAAAAAAAAAAGATCTTATTTTTAAGTAATCTCTACACCCAATGTGGGGCTCAAACTCACAACCCAGAGATCCGGAGTCACATGCTCTACTGAATGAACCAACCAGGCTCTCCCATGCAGAATTTTAAAAGAGGAATATTCAATATTCACTTTTGGAAACCAGTCTCCAGTTCTGCCTAACTTTGGTGGTTTCGGTTGGGAATGTCTTTTTCCTGTAATATTTATTTAGAACTGCTCACACAACAGCTATTAACTCCAAATGGAAATATAATCAATTATAAGAATAAAACAGATGATTGTGGAAAATATTAATAAGTGATATACCAGATGTATAAATATACCATATGTGTAAATTCCCCCAAATATGCATGTGAAATGTGGATAAAATATTTGTATTTAAAGGAAGTGTCCTGCCAATGTGTGTATGAGTTTGTATGTGAGCATGTTTGTGCATAAACACAGTAATTTAGATCATTAAGATATAACAATGCTTTGAATTTTTCTTTACATAAAAGATGCCAAGAACTAGCATCTTATGTATTTGATGGAATTTAAATTAATACCAATAGGTTAAACTTCCCTCTTCTCTTCCCCATCCCTGGGAATAACTTTACTATCATTTCAATTGACTCTGATTTTCCAAACATCAACAGGTAAGCAGAGATGTTAACACATCTTTTTTTTTTTTTTTAAAGATTTTATTTTATTTATTTGACAGAGAGAGAGAGAGACAGCTAGAGAGGGAACACAAGCAGGGGGAGTGGGAGAAGGAGAAGCAGGCTCCCGGCCGAGCAGAGAGCCCGATGCGGGGCTCGATCCCAGGACCCCGGGATCATGACCCAAGCCGAAGGCAGACGCCCAACGACTGAGCCACCCAGGTGCCCCGATGTTAACACATCTTTAGCAAGAAAGAAAGGAAGAGAATATTACTTTTACCTATTGCTACAACTATCTTTACCAAGCCACAAAGTTCCAGGCAAAATAGTGCTATGAAAGATATAGTACAGCTCCAATAATTATCTTGCCTGTCCTGTGCACAACTCTGTAGGAAATAATAGTTGAGTTCATTTCTGTGTCTTTGCTCATCTCTGAAAATTTGAGTAGAGTATTTGATATTCTCTTACCCCCATCCTCCTCTCCTGTTACATTACTTTCATTAACATAACTTTACTTGTATCAGGGAACAGTTCCTTGATTATTTGTAGTTGTTCTTGTCTATCAAGCTCTGCCTTATTTCCCTTTCCACTCCACCTAGCCTAGATTACAGAGTCAACTATGTGAAATATGTCAGACACTCCAAAAGCACTCACCTACTTCTATTACTCGTCTAACATTTTCTTTAGCTTCCAACACACAGCCTAACTATTCATTTTCTCTCTCTTACTTAGCTTCTCCATTTAGGGATGTTACTTAACCATGATCACTATATTCTCTACAAGTTTACTCTCACCTTTACCTTGATTTGGACTTTCAAATGAATTCCTGATTAACTCTTTCCTCCTGCATACAGAGATTCTTCCATATTTTCTTCTCAAATTCCCAACCTCATTTCCACCATTTTTTTCTCAGATAATTTACACAGAGAGATAAATAATCAGATATGAACTTGATGGCTCTCTTCTTGTATCAACATTTTTCTTTCCCTACTAAAGAAAAATGATCCCCACTTTTAAAGTCAACCCTATGCTCTTAAAATATTATTCTCTTTTCTACCGCTTCCATATTTTTCACCTTTTTTTCTGTTTTCAAGTAGGCTCCACACCAGAACTCACAACCCTAAGATCAAGAACCTGAGATCAAGACCCAAACTGAGATGCAGTCAGATGCTTAGCCAACTGAACCATCCAGATGCCCCCATATTTTTCACCTTCAGCTTCATTTTTAAAAAAGATTTTATTTATTTATTTATTTATTTATTTATTTATTTATTTATTTATTTATTTATTTATTTAACAGAGAGAGCAAGAGAGATAGAGAGCAAGCATGAGCTGGGAGAGAGGCAGATAGAGAAGGAGAATCAGATTCCCCGCTGAGCCAGAAGCCGGGACCCTGAACTCGATCCCAGGGCCTTGGGATCATGACCTGGGTGGAAGGCAGACGCTTAACTGACTGAGCCACCCAGACGCCCCTCATCTTCATCTTCATTCTTAATCTGCCTGTCTCATCTTCAGTATCTCCTTTTTTACTTGCTTCTTTTCCTCACACTACAAAAACACTCATGTGTCCATATATATGTATATACATATGTTTTTTAATATATATACACACACATACATATGTACACATATTATACACACACACATTTAAATTTGCTACTTCTTGGGGGGAAAAGCTAGTTCTGTTTATCCCTTCTCTTCACCTCAAACTTCTAACAGTTACTTGATGTACTGCACTTTGAGTTTTATTTCAACTGTCTGTTGCATAGCCTTACGATTTTAAGCCTACTATAGGGGGTTGAATGGTGACTCCCCTAAAAGATATGCCCACAATCTTAATCCCTGGAGCCTGTGAGTATTACTTTCTGTGGCAAATGATGTGATTTAGTTTAGGGTCCGGAGAGAAGGAGTTTAGCTTGGATTACCCAGGTGGGCCTTAAAGTGTTATCACATGTATCCTTATAAAGCAAACATATGGATAAGTAGATATGCAGAAAGGGAGGCAATGTGACCAGGGAGACAGAGATTGGAGTCGTGTAGCCACAAGCCAAGAAATGCTGATAGCCATCAGAAGGTGCAAGAGACAACAGATTTTCCCTTTGAGCTTCAGAGGGTACAGCCCTGCCAACATTTGGATTTTGGACTTCTGGTCCCCCAAATTGTGGGAGAATAAAATTTTGTTATCTTAAGCCACCCAGTTTTTGGTAATTTGCTACAGCAACCTCAAGAACGAACATACCTATTCACCTAACTTCTTTACTTGGACACGTTGTTCTCATTTTTTAATCTCTCTTTTCTGATTCTATCCTTTCATAGATTTTTTTCCATAAGGGAATTACTCCCAAATCTAGATCTATAATCTCCCCTGAGTTCCAGACCTGTATTTCCAATCACAGTGGCATTCTTTTAGAATCACAAGAGTAACATTTTATTAAATGTTTCTCTCCATTTGCTAGCTGGACAAACATACACAAACTATTTCTTCAACTGTATTCTGCATCTTGGTTAATGGCAATCTCATCCTCCTAGATGACCAAACTAAAAAAGTTAGTGTCATCCTGTTATTTGTCTTTCTCTTATCATTTGTAATGAATCATTCATTATTAGGTTGCTTCTACTTTGCTAATGCTTTTTGTACATGTTTCTTTCAATCCATTTTGACTGTCATGATATGTCTCCATTACTTGATACCTAGAATATTATAAAAAATTCTTTACTAGCTTTCTTACCTTCAGAATCTCCCCTGTTCCATCCCTCAAGTACACATTCACTAGAGCAAACTCTGCTCATTTATTCATACTTATCTCTCCATCAGTAAAACCTTCCAGTTGAAAAGTTATCTATCTTTCAAGGCACTCTTTAGTAAAACATGCCTAATCTCTGGAGCCCACCCACACTTCTACCTTGTAGGGAATCACCTAGGTGGTTTATTTCAGTACTGTATATGTATTCAAAAATTGCTGATTGGGGGCGCCTGGGTGGCTCAGTCAGTTAGGTGTCTGCCTTTGGCTCAGGTCATGATCTCAGAGTCCTGGGATCGAGCCCCACATCGGGCTTCCTGCTCAGCTGGGAGTCTGCTTCTCCCTCTCCATCTGTCTCTGCCCCCACTCGTGCTTGCTCTCTTTCTGTATCAAATAAATAAATAAAATCTTTTTAAAATTATTGATTGAACATATGCTATATTCCATGTTCTAAAACTAGAGATATGTAAGACAGTAGTAGGCAAAGGCAGGAAAGTTTAATTCCTTCACTACTAGGCTGAAGGATTTAAGCCTTTATTCTCCAGTCAGAGAAGCCTCTGGGTATTTTTGTGGAAAAAAATTACAAGATAGAATATATACTAAATGCACTTTAAAAGACTCAACTGGGGGCGCCTGGGTGGCTCAGTCAGTTAAGTGTCTGACTCGGTTTCCACTCAAGTCATGATCTCATGGGTCGCAGGATTGAGCCCCCTCATTGGGTTCCGGGCTCAGAGGAGAGTCTGCTTGAGATTCTCTCCCTCTGCCCCTCCCCCCACTTGTGCACGTGCACTCTCCCTCTCTCTCAAATAAATAAATAAATCTTTAAAAATAAATAAAAGATTCAACTGATAACAGTGTCAGAGCAGTACTGTGCCATGATGGATTTGGGATCCTCTAAAACTGAGTTTGGGCTACTTCTTAGTACCTATTTTTGTCTTAAGCTTCAGGTTTCTCATCGGCAAAGTGACTGTGATAAATACTGTACTCGCACCATAGGGCTGGGGTTTTTTTAAGGTTTTATTTTTAAGTAATCTCTACACCCAAGGTGGGGCTCCAACTCAGGACCCTGAGATCAAGAGTCACATACTCCACCCACTGAGCCAGCTAGGAGCTCCAGGGCTGATTTGATAACTAGATGAGATGCTGCAATTAAAGATCTTAACACAGGTCCTAGAAAATAATGGGATCAGTAAGTATTACTATATTTTATTGAATTCAAAAGAAGTCATTAATTCTAAGATGCACCATTACTTATGTGCTACCAGGAAAGAAAAACAGCCAACAAAATTATTATAAACCATCAATTACAAGATGCATCCTGATTCAGGTGCATATTATAACATTTTAAATATGAAATTACTTTATTATATTTCATGTAAAGGATAGTACAGTAAGCAGCCAATCTCACTTAAAAGAAAGAAGGCACTCTGTGTGAACAATAACAAAATTATTCCTTAGAATTAACAACACAATTTTTATTATTGTTATAATATCTGAAGGTTATTGTGCTGAAATTAAAATGGTGATCAGGAGGATATTTTATAAGCTTATATGGAACGGTAAAGGAATCCAGTTAATGGTATCTGAACACTATTTGTACTAATCTTGCAAATATTCTCTGATCATAAAATTAAGTTCAAACTTACACTTAAGAGTTATCAAACACCTATGCAGTTTTTACTCTTTTGTACTAATATTTTTCAAGGCTAATAATTAATATAGGAAAAATGATAGAATAGGTAAGTTTAAAGTGTGGTGATCCAAAACCACTATTTCATCTATATATCTCACTAATACATGAAACTTCAAGTGAACTTTCAAATGAAAGTTTCAAATGAAGATGAAATACACAAAAAGTTCAAAATGACTGAGAATGATCATACCACAGAAGATGTTCCCTGGTTATAAGATAATACGAAGAAAAAAGAGAAGATGTATTTATACCCTAACAAAAAGTTAATAAAGGAAACAAATATACTTAAATTATATCAATGACTTACTTCACCGGAAGGGTTTGAACAATCTTCTCCTGACTGTGGAAGACAAGGACTGAAGGCCATGAGGTCGGTCTTGGGCGGGGGCGGAGGCGGGGGCGGGCCCTCCCCGGAGCACACCCTCTGCCGCCTCTGCTGCGAGTACGACCAGCTCCCCACCGCGCTGGAGCACACCAGCGTGGGCTTCCCAGGCGCG